CTACTGCTACTACGACTGCTACTACTACTGCTACTACTACTGCTACTACTACCGCTACTACTACTGCTACTACTACGACTACTGCAACAACAACTACTACTACGACTACTACTACTACTACTACTACTACTACTACTACTACTACTACTACTACTACTACTACTACTACTACATACTACTCATACTACTCATACTACTACTACTACTACTACTACTACTACTACTACTACTACTACTACTACTGTATTACTCTCTACTACTACTACTATTACTATATGGTACTACTACTAGGACTACTTCTACTACTATGTTACTACTACTACTACTACCTACTGCTACACATAATACTACTACTACTACTACTACTATACTTAAACTTACGACTACTACTACTACTACTAATACTACTATTACTACTACTACTACTACCACGTCTACTACGACTACTACTACTCTACTACTACTACTACTACTACTACTACTACTACTACTACTACTACTACTACTACTACTACTACTACTACTACTACTACTACTACTACTACTACTACTACTACTACTACTACTACTACTACTACTACTACTACTACTACTACTACTACTACTACTACTATTACTACGACTACTCCTACTACTCCTGCTGCTGCTGTTGCTGCTCATCTATTACGACCCCCTTCCCTTCCATCATGTTTCCCCATTCTACACCCGTCCACCAACCCCCTCATGGGAGGGCCTTCCAGCGCCAGTCCAAGAAGGCGGACCTGGGCCAACGCGGGGGCGTAACATAGCTTGTGGGAGAGGAGGCCCGGTCCCGAAGGGCGGCGTTTTTGGGTCAGCGGGCGCCAAAAAAACAGGCGCTGGTCTAGCGTCGGGAAGGGCGCTCTGGAGGCGAATTGGGCACTAAGAAAAGTAGGCAGAACAGGAGAGGTGTAGAAGAACGAGCAGCGGTCAGAACATGATGTCCTTCTCGCGAGTGGCAAAGAAGGCGCGCTCAAAACATGCAATCTTTCACGCGAGCGCCAAAAGTGCACAATGACGTCGAGGACCGAACCCACGAAGCACAAGGACAGGACGAGCTGAAAGAGCATGAAGGCGGAACCATAGCCCGCAAGCCCAGGAGGGCAGAAGGAACGCAGCGCTGCTTGTCAACCCGGAAAAGAAAAACAACAAATGAGCGTGGCGAAGGACCCAACCATATGTTATTGTGAACACCGTCGTTGTATGCACCGCATTCGGAGGAGCTCCCAAGGGGGTCACGAAATGTGTGAGTGGTGTGCCACAATTTGTCCGGTGGGCACATGCGAAAGCAGCCACTTGGGCCGTCGGTGGAGCTCCTTATGGAGCCACGAAACGTGTGAGGGGTGTGCCGAAAGGGAAGGGTGACGCATGCGGGCGGTGGCAGTGGAGCCGTCGGTGGAGCTCCCTATGGGGCCACGAAACGTATAATAGGTATACCGAAATCGGTGTGGTGGGCTAGTGCGAACGCAGCCACTGGCGCCTTCGGTGGAGCTCCATATGGGGCCACGAAACGCGTGAAGGGTGTGCTGGAATGTGCGTGGGTGACGCATGAGGGCGATGGCACCAGGGTCCCTATGGGGCCACGCGACGTGTGAGAGGTGTGCCGAACGGTGGAGCTCCCTCTGGACATGGAACGCGCGAGGGGTGTGCAGGAATGGGTGTGGGTGACGCATGCGGGCGGTGGCACCAGGGACTTCGGTGGAGCTCCCGATGGGGCCACGAAGCGTGTGAGGGGTGTGCCGACGTGGGTGTGGGTGACGCATGCGGGCGGTGGCAGTGGGGCCTTCGGTGGAGCTCCTTATTGGGCCACGAAACGTGTGCCGAAAGTGGTGTGGGTGACGCATGCGGGCGGTGGCACTAGGGCCTTCCGTGGAGCTCCCCATGGGGCCACGAAGCGTGTGAGGGGTGTGCCGACATGAATGTGAGTGACGCGTGCGGGCGGTGGCACTGGAGCTTTCGGTGGAGCTCCCTATGAGGCCACGAAGCGTGTGAGGGGTGTGCCGAAATTAATGTGGGTGACGCGTGCGGGCGCTGGCACTGGGGCCTTCGGTGGAGCTCCCTATGGGGCCACGAACCGCGTGAGAGGTGTGCCGAAACCGGTGTGGGGGGCGCATGCGGGCGGTGGCACTGGGGCCTCCGGTGGAGCTCCCAAGTCAAGTCAAGAAGCCATACGCCCGTTGGCGCGTGGGCGAGACAACGCATTACACTGCACTGCTCCTGGTGGGCGTTGCCTCCGGCAGGGCGCGCGGGCAGAAGAATGCGAAAGTTGGTGCCGCGACGGACGCTAGAGAGCAAACCGCATCACGACTGCGACGCAGAAAAATAACGGAGCGCCCCTCGACTGCGAAGCAGACAATGTATAAACACAACTGTGGGGAAGCCAAAGCAGAGGGGGGAGAGGAGAGAGGGGAGGGGGGGGGGAACAAGATACAAGCGGAAAACCGCAGCATTCGCGTTCTTCAACAAACTGCGAAACAAATCGACACCATTGTCGAGTGTCTGCGACGCACTGGGAGAGAGCATAAGCATATTCGAAGCAATTCCTGATTTTCTTATACAATCACTTCGCCCACTCGTGTCTGGGGCGCCCGCGCTTCCGTGCAAGAGTATCAGCGATCGGTCTCACACTGCCTGGTTGGAAGGTTAATTTTCGGAGCACGTCCGCGTCGCTGCTCCGGCCAAGTTTACCAAACCACATAAGCTGATGCTGGAGTAGTTGACGACTGTAAGATATCGCCCCCGCTTGTTGTAGCACACTTTTGTTGGACACCCTCGAAATATAGGAATGAAGAATGTTCAGGATATGGCGTAGGCACCTCGCCTGGAAACCATCCAAGCGTCGTCTGCCGCTCGTGTTTAGCCAAGCAGAGTTCGAAGAGTACATCACTCTAGTCGTAACCAGCGCCCCAAATGCGTTCAGTTTTCGTTCTACCTTGATGGACGTATGCTTCCAAGCCCTTGTGTATTTCTGCAACTCCCCCCAAGCGATCCCGAGTCGTTTAACCAACTCTGGTTTCATGTTGCCGGAACTGTATATCGATGCTCTCAAATGTTTGATTTGTTCGGTAGCCGGAATAGGGGTCCCATTTGGGGCCAAAATCTGTATGTCGCTGCCAGTTTGTACAAGTTGAAATTTATCCCAATGAAGCTCCACCCCCATTGCTGCCCCTGCTTCTGCAGTTGCGTCGAGCAGTGACTGTAGTTGACCAGCGTGCCGCCCAACCAAGAGGGCGTCATCGGCGTGCAGCAGAACAGACATATCCCCAGCAGCAAGTGCTTTGAGCGATGCCTCGTCCAGTTTTTCTTCTGCGTTTTTGATAACCACGCTCATCACGATGACAAGGAGGAGCGGTGATAGGGGGCAGCCCTGCGCAATTCCCGATTGTTGGTTTCTGATGCTTGATTTCTGTCGCCGTCGGCCACGCAGGAACGTCTGTTGTCGTAAATATTACCAATGCGAGACAGCATGCGCGGTGGTACACCGAATACCCGCAGCGCGCCCAAAAGAGCGGTCACGTTGATCGAGTCGAATGCTTTTTTCCAGTCCAGCGCCAGCATAGCCGCGGCCCCTCCTCATCCTGCGCGTGATAACTCGATGTGTCTGCGCACGACATGAATTGCATCGGCAGTGCCCCTTCCGCCCCCTGAAACCAAATTGCGTCGCTGTTAGCCTGCTTTCGGCCCCGGCGCCCTGTAGTCTCCACGATAATAGCGCTGCCAATAACTTGTAAATAACACACAGCAGGCTGTTAGGGCGATAGTTGTCGCACTGGTCGATTGGGCCTTTGTTTTTGTAGATGGCCGTGGCATCATTGCGCCTCCACTCCGCCGGCGCCTGTTTTTCCTTCCAACGCGCGTCGATCAGCAAAGTAATCCATGTCAAGCTTTTGCTTTCTTTGGCCAATGCCTTCCAAAACTCTGCTGGTATGTTATCTAGTCTGGAGGCTTCTCCCCGCTTCAATTTTGAAATAGCGAATCCAACCTTTTTTGTCTGAAACACCGGTTTTGGTGATGGGCAGGGCGTCTCCGAAGGGCGCTCGATCCACTACTTCCGCGGGCCGGACTTCCCATTGCACTTCTTCCAAATGCTCGGCCATCGCGTTCGCCTTCTCTTCGCTATGGACAAGCGCGCCTCGTAGATTGCGAAGTCAGCCCTGGTTGTGGGGCTTCGGCCGGCATGCTTTTTTCAAAGATGCCCAATCCCCTCCTTGGATGTGCTTGCCCACCCACACCGTTTTGTCCATCTTAGCTGATTTCCGCACTTCTGTCTGCAATTTCTTTTCATCCTCCGTATGGTTGCGTAATCTCGCCTGGCCCCTTCGCTCTATCAAGTCCAATGTTCTGCTTGATATCCAAGGCTGTCGCGTTGTAACTTCCCGGTGAGGGAGCGCGCCTTTTGCACATTGCATAGCATGTTCTGCATGATCCCACATGTCGCGCACATCTTTTGTCTCCGACTCCGCGTTCTGAAGAAATACGCCCGTAAAATGTCCACGGATTTCTTCGTCATCCTATGCAGCCGCGTCTGTCCTAGCGCGGTTTCGTCGCGCGTCCGCGGGCGCTGCCAACTCCATGTGTTTTTAGCGCAGGAGACGAGGGCGAGGATATGATAACTCCATAGTGCAGGAGACGAGGAAATTATCGGTAGCGAGCGCTGCGCCACGCCAACTTCGGAGCGACCTGATAGAGTCTAGCGCGCCCGGCGTGCACAATAATAAATCTGACATGTTGTGCGTGAACATGTCGATCGGAGCCTGAGCGGCAATCCCGGCCTCTCTGAAAGTCACTCTTTGTTTAAGGTGTTGTTCGATAAACGCGCTGGCAATGACCAAACCATTCCCAAAGCAAGGTTCGACAAGTGAACCTCTGTTTGGTCTTTCCACTTCGCGCGCGGCTTCCCTTCCCCAGCCATGCAGACCAATAACTCCATCTTCGCCGGGACGTGTTCGGCCCACCCTTGCATTCAAGTCGCCTAGTACCATTTTGCCGTAGTTCGCGCAGCAGGCCCGGTACTCTTCATCCAGCATGTTGAAGAAATCGATGCGTTCTTCTGGCGGTCGTTGGTTGCGAGGCGCATAAACACCCAGCAAACCGTGCGTCTGACCTTGTACGCGCAACTTTAAGACACAAATCAGGTCGGAAACTTGCTTATATGATTCGACATATCTTCGCAGCCGTGGTGCTATCATAACACCAACCCCAGCCCAAGTGTTGCCATCGCAATCTGCTCCAGATAAAACGACCTGGTGGTCGTGCTCAAAATGCACTTATGCTTTTGGTTTCCTGGTCTCCTGGATGCAAAGCACGTCGATTCCATAAGTAGCCATGTGTTTTGTCAGCTCAAGTGTTTTGATATATGTAAGCCATCTTACATTCCAAGTTCCGTATGCAATAAAGCTCGATGTTCCAGATTGTAAAGAAGTGCCGCGTGTAGAAGGTCGTGGAGTTGGAGGTGGTGAAACAATCGGGGCGTAGGTATCTTCGCCCTGCCTGGGTGTTTGGGTATTGCCATGCCTGGTCGTGGTATCTTTGCCCTCGCCTGGATGGTCGAAAAAATAACGATCAAAGTCGAAGTCTGTAGTGTTTGGACGAACCGCAGCCAGAGAAATGGCATCGGCGGATGCGTTGATAACGTCCGGCTCCGGGTCCGCATCGAGGGTGCCAGCGAAAACCTTGAGTGAGACAGAAGCTGAGATACCCTTGGGGATGTCGGCGGCTCTCGTGTCGGCTTCGGCGCTGGTGA